TTTGAGAATCCAATTTCCTGACATGGGTGTTCAAAGACTCAACCTTCCCATTCAAATCAGTATACAAGGCATCAATCTTTCCATTAAAGTCCACAGTGATCTTCTGCTGACCCTCTAGCAGCTGTTCAAGCATAGCTTCCATCTTACTTGAGGCAGATGGTGCAGGAGGTGGTTGATAAGAAGAGGAACCATAGTTCCTAGTGAAATTATTGCTCTGAAAAGGCTTCTGGTAATTGTCAAACCTTTGACCTTGAAAACCAGCTCCATTGATGAAGTTAACAGCTTCTTCCTCAGCTGGTTCGAATTGCCCCACTTCAGCAGCAATTTGGACTGATTTCTTATCCACCAGAAAGTTATGAACAAAGTCCAACTTGGCCTTCACTTCTGCAGCAAACTGATTACTATCCACACTTCCAGCAAGCTTCTTCCTCTCAATGTCTGCATTCTTGGTGCTATTGCTAGATACCAAGTTCTCAATCAATGTGATTGCATCTGCTGGAATCCTGGTGTTGAAATTCCCATTGTTAGCAGCATCTATAGCCATCTGGTACCTCCAATCAACACCCCTGAAGAAAATGCCAAGTAGCTGCACCTGATTGAAATCATGGTGTGGACAGTCTCTCTGATATGACCTGAATCTCAACCAAGCAGTCTTGAAAGCTTCAGCTAGTCCTTGAGAGAAGGAGGCAATTTTCGTTCTGAACTCTTCAGACCTTGCATCATCAAAGAAATTATTGAGAAATGTGTTCTTGGTGTCCTCCCAAGTGGTCAAAGAGCCAGGCTCTAGTTGTTTCAGCCAAAAAGCTGCATCTCCTCCCAGAGAATAAGGAAACAGCTTGCAGAACAGGAAGTCATTGCTAACTCCATTAGCCTTGATACTTGAAGCCAAATCCTCAAACCTCTCTATGTGATCCATAGGATGCTCATGTGGAAGACCATGGAAAGGGTGTTGTCCTACTAGTTGGTAATAAGCAGGCTTCACTTCAAAGTCATTCCTCTGAAAGGCAGGAGGGCGGATTGCAGCTCTATTTGCATAAAACTGATCAGGCCTATTGAAATCTCCAAGAGTCTTCTGTTGAAAACGCCCAGCAGCATTCTCAGCAGCTTGTTGTTGCACATTCTGTGCAACTGGTGGCACAGCTTGTTCCTCAATCACAGCGCCATCATCAGCAAGTCGCTGTCCTTCTTCATTTCGCATGTTGCCCTCTGCATCATACAACAGACCATCTTCACCTTGAATCAGCACCAATGGAGCAACCATCTTAACAGGCTTGTTTGCTTTCCTGTTTGTTCGCTCTAAACGTGCTAGTGTCTGGTTGTCCAAGTCGATCAGCTCATTTTTCTTGTTGCTTCGAGTAATGCGATTAGGCATGCACCTGAAATAGACAAGAAAATATCAGTAACAAAAATAAAAACTTAGACAAGATTCTAAACTAAAATCTATAGGCAACAATTAAGTCCCCGGCAACAGCGCCAAAATTTGATATGCTCAAATTTACCCTTAGAGCTACTCTCTCAAATTAAGAGATCACAGTAGTATTTAGGGATCGAATCCACAAGGACTTAGATTGTTGCACACTAGATTCTATGTTTAAATCAAGCTAAGCAAAACTAATGAAAATAATGCAAGTAATAAAAAGAAAGCAGCAAATCGATTGGGAGGTTTTAAATCAAAGAGAGAAACGCTAGGCCTTGGAAAATTCGCAGGTGAATCCGAATTGCAAATCTAGACAGAATGTTAGGAGTTTATTAAGCACTGTTCTTGAACTTGAAACACTAATATAAAATCAATCAACTTTCGCTGCAGAGATTATCTATGTCTAAATCCTAGGATCCCAAATTCCTTTGCAAAACAAGCATTAAAATCAGGTTCAATCGTTCACAAAATCCTAAACCAAATTCATTTGCGGATAGGAATTTTGCTCATCTAAGATTAGTTCTGGTGATTAATAATACTTCCGCATCTATTAATCAACCTAATATCAGATTCTAGGTCGCGAAGCTAGAATAAGCAATAAACACAAATCAAGATGAAGAACTCTAATGATTTTATCCTAACAATTCAATTCAACCTAGCAATTCATCATCACCTTTGAAAAACCCTAAACCTAACAAGCAGACTACTCAGACATGATCAATGAAACAGAAATCATAATTTGAATAGAAAGCATAAGAGAAATCAATAGAAGAAATAAGGGAGTTCAAAATCCTCTCTAAAGGAGAATGATTTATCTCTCCAAAAACTCTCTAAAAATCTCTCTCTTAATCTCTTTGTAAAATAAAGCTTAGGTCTAAACAATGACCTTAAAATCCTATTTATAATGCTCAAACACGTTTTGGGGCAAAACTGTAAATAAGTGAACTTCTGGGCAAGTTTTCTTTTCTTCAAAAGTGCTGAAACACGCGTCTCTTTGTATCCACGATTGGTGTCGATCGACACCAAGGAGTGGTGTCGATCGACACCCTGCTCCAATATGCTCTCCGAGTTGGTCTTTTCAGCATCATCTTCAACATAGCTCCAAAAGGTCCCAAAATCTCCAGTTATGTTCCAAGCGTACCTGAACCTACAAATACTCTAAAAGACTCGAAAAATACCATAACGACTCTATAAAAAGGACTTATATCATGGTCAAAAACTGGTCAAAACCATGATATATCATAAGTGTCGGAGCTACCAGAGTCAAAGATGAATTTAATGTGCTCTAAACCTGTTTGCTTCCCATCGAAAAGAAGATCTGCTGGTCCAGTCGTGTAGTGGTTGCTAAGCAGTAGACGAATCAGTTAGTAGATAACAATCACTCTTAAAGCCAAGACGAATACAAAAGAAGTAAGAATTGTAGAAGTGTTATTACACTTTGGTGACACTAATGGCCTCCAGGCCACACTGAACAAAGGATTATGATTGTCTCTGAAGAACAAAGAAGCCCCACCTTTAAAGCTTAAGCAATGTCCAATCACATTTTTGATTAGTCCCGCAGAGACAAGTTGTGTTAAGACACAGATTTTTCCTCTCTCGAGTCCCAAAACTCTGGCAATCGCAGACGGGGGGATATTCACTAGGGAAACTTTGATCATAACCTCACCTAGAAACACCAGATTCCGAAGAATTAACATTTTCATCTCAAGATTGACATACTGAATTAATGAAAATACAGTTCCCTAGTCTCACATGAATGCTAAGAGGGGTTGCGGAAACGAGCCATTTAGGAATTTTAGAGAAAGCTGGTCAATGACAAGTGCACCCAATGATGAACCTTGATCAGCATAAGTAATTTCATAGTCGCATTGTTCTTTCAGGTTTCGGCATTGAGGCTTTTTAGGCCAGTAAAGAGCTGAACAGATTAAGTCTGAACACGGGACAATATTTCCCTTAGGCATGTACTGAAGTGAAGGAGGCTACAACACAAACAAGTAGAGATACGAATAAGCAGAGAAGAGTTTGCTTTTGAAAAGAGAATGAATCTGTTAATGATATCTATGTACCACAGTGCAGCCTTTGCAAGGAGCATTGCATTGAACCCATGTGAGATCACTACCAGTATTAATATCGAATTTAAAAGCTTTTGGAGAATTTCCTATTTGAATAGAGATCGACTAGTATCTACAATACAATTTCCAAAATATAATCTATAGAAATTATTATAGGAAAATATGAGATTTTTTTTTATTTAACCAAGAAGTTATGAGTTATCCGATTTTTATCACCCATCTAACTATTCAAAATAAGTGCAGTTGTAGGATAATTTATTTATTAAATGGGTTTTCTAATGGGTTAAAGCGTGATAACATACTGACAGACTAAATAATAACCAGATATTTTATGCTTAAAATGAATTTTTTTATTAATTAGGAGAATTGAAAAATATCCATTACCATTTGGTTGGATATTAATCAAATAAATAAAAAACAATACAAAAATAGAGACCTACGACCATAATACTCAAACAAAGCACAATGATAAATAAAACAGAGCAATATCTACATAGCAATATATGCTTTCTTTTGATCAAACAAGTCCTAACCAAATATGGCATACTTTGTTGGTTTTTATATTTTGGAGGTTTAGTCTAATTTATTAATATCTAAAATATGACCTCTACTTTGTTAGTCTTGGTATAAAATATTTCTTCAATTTCCGAATTAATTCACCTCAACCTTATATTAGGAGGTAACAAAAAAAAAGGTGATAGGAGAAACATCAACCGGGTTAACCCAAGAAGGAAGACATTGCTGGAGAGAGGAAAGACGACTGAGGAAGGAGAGTTGGGAGAGAGAATACCCTGTGTTAAAAATGGAACCTTCATTTGAACCAAGAAGAAGAGTAGAAGAAGAGACAATCTCAAGTCCATCTTTTTATCTATCTCTTTCTTGCACAACAAACAATTGATCTTAGCAACCAAATTATAATAGATGAAGAGAGGAGGAGGATCTGATAATAGAGAACAATAAATAAATACTGTATATGGATGGATCAACTATTAAGAGATCTGTGTTTCTAGTAGAGTAAAAAAAAAGAATAGCATGCAAGTAATATTTTTATTTCTTTCAAATTTATGATTTCTATATATTTTGGGAGGAAAATAATATCAAACTCTTCAACGGATCCTCCTAATTTGGATGCATTAAATGATTAAACCTTTGTTTCTTGTATAAAAAAGGGAATTAATTTTTTTTTTTCTCACACTTATTATTTTTATTTCTTTTTTTGGAGAAAACAAATCAAACACTATTACTTTACAGTAACTATACCTCTTTTTTTCGTCAGACACAGTAACTATACCAGTTCTTGTAAAATTGTTGTTTTCAGAGCATTGATCACCCGCGAGAAGCAAGACTCATAAAGCGTTCTAGAATTGACTGAAGCCGGTCATTTCACATTTGGTTTCGTTTGGTATGGTTTCTTACCTTAATTCTAAAAATCGGCCATCTTAACGATAATGCAGCTAAAGATGCTCTTGTTTTGGCATAATCGTTCGATTTGGTCCAATCAGACATTGTAATATCCATAAAGGTGTTAATTTAATAACTCAAACTTGTGTAAATGGTTCATTCGATTGAATGTATATGAATCTTAAATTGTGAATATGTAAAGAGTCATATAATGTGGTGAATCATTCATTTTGTCATATTTTGGGAATTTTATTACAATCTGCAGAAACCCATCCGAGTTGTTGCTTCTCATTGTCGTAGATCATCATAACCCCTTGCATAGATATATCTTCAAAAAAAAAAGAAAAGACAATGAAACAAATTAGTTTTCGCTAGGTTTGGGCATTCGGTTTTGGGATCGTTTGGTTTGAATATGTTTATATTCGGTTCAGGTGTAGATTCGGTTTGATTAGTCAATCTGAATGAATAGTTTTCTATATATGAGTATTTACTAACTAATAAATATTATCTTCTTATATGGATTTTGGTTAGTTCGGTTAACTTCATTTAGTTGCACAAAATAATGGTTTGTTCGGGTATTTTGCACATAACTTCTTACCTCCGATTACGTTGGAGTCTTGTAAGCCTACTTCACTTCCATTTAGTATTCCCAAGCAGACGTTCCCAGTTTTCTGAAGAAGACAATCAAAATTATTTCATTAATTTTGAATATGATGAATGAAACTTTTCAAGGTCATATCATTTCTTACAGAGATGATGAGATAAGATTCAGGTGGAATCTGGAGCTGAGTGTTTCTTCTCCCACTCATAAAGTTGATTGTTAACGTCTTGAATAAGTTCTTGACCTCAAGAACAGATTTCAAAGGCTTAGCTCCTTTCCAGCATATTGGTAAAGTCTTGTCCTCTTTCGCATCCTTCAACGGCTTGTCTTTCAGATCGTTTCCAATCTGTGAAAAGAGATTGCTTTAGGTGACCATACATACATACATTGTTAATGATTTTTTTTTTTTTTGTGTGCGTTTCTTGAATTACCAGATTTACTATTTTTTGGTATGTCTTGCTGTTGAAGTAAGTGTAGGAGCTTCCAGAGTCAAATATGAGTTTAAGGTCTTTTAATCCTGTTGACTTTCCGTTGGAAAGTAGCTCTGCTGGTCCCGTCGTGTAGTGGTTGCTGAAGAGAAGACGAATGTCACGAATCAGGACTAGTAGACAACAATCCGAGACAAATATGAAAGAAGGAAAAATTGTAGAAAATGTTATTATACTCTTGTGACATTAATGGTGTCCATGATACACCAGTGGAAGGAATGAGATTATCTCCAAAGAACAAGAAGCCTCCACCATTAGAGCTTAAGCAATGTCCAATCACATTTCTCGTTAGTCCAGCGGAGACAAGCTGTGTCAAGACGCTGATTCTTCCTCTCCCAAGGCCCAAAACTCCGGCAGTCGCGGGAGAAGGATGTGCACTAGGAAAACTCTGATCATAACCGCACCTACAAACACAAGATGTCCAAGAATTAACATTTTCATATCAAGATTCACATTATTGAGTAAATGAGAAAATAATTTCTTAGTCTCTCTCACCCAAATGCTAAGCGGGGTTGCAAAAACGAGCCATTTTGGAGTTTTAAAGGAAACTGGTCAATGACAAGTGCACCCATTGATGAGCCTTGATCAGCATAAGTAACTTCGTAGTCGCATTGTTCTTTCGGGTTTGGGCATTCAGGCTTTTTAGGCCAGTGAAGAGATGAGCAGATTGGGTCTGAGCACGGGATAATATTTGCCTTAGGCATGTACTGAAGTGAAGGAGGCTACAAAACAAACAAGTAGAGATGAAAATAAGCAGAAAAGAGTTTGCTTTTGAAAAAGAGAATGAATCTGTTAATGATATCTATATATAATATATACCACAGTGCAGCCTTTGCAAGGAGCATTGCATTGAACCCAAGTAAGATCACTACCAGTATCAATATCAAATTGAAAGGCTTTTGGAGGATTCCCTATTTGAAGAGAGACCGAATAGTATCTACAATATAAATCCCAAGAGATAATCTGTAAATAAACAACAGAATATAAAAATATAGATAAAATACAAATATACTCAACAACTACGGAAAAGAAAAATAAAACTCAACTAATTTGTTTACAAAAAAATAATTAGGCCAATTCTTTTATAATTACGGAGATTCACCACTTTCTTTATGATTTACTTTTACGTTTTAGATATTAATTTTTTAAAGGTTTTTTGTTAATAATCTAATAGGGATTTGGGGTTATGTTTTAAGATTTTTGGGTTTAGATTTGAGTTTTCAAAGTTTGGAACTTAATTTTTAAAAACATGGAGCTAAGAAGAAAAAGATGAGAAGAAAAATATCAATCGGGTTTACCCAAGGGGGAAGACATTGCCGGAGAGAGGAAAGACAACTGAGGAAGGATAAGAATTGGGAGAGAGAACACCAGAGAAGGTCTTGAAGATGGAACCTTGATTTGATTTAACCAAGAAGAAGATCAGAAGAAGAAGAGACAGTCTCAAGTTCATCTTTTTATCTCTATTTCTTGCACAACAAACAACTGATCTTAACAAACAATTATAATAGGTGAAGAGATGAAGATGATCTGATAATAGAACAAATAAATAAAAGCTGTATGGATTGTAAAGATCTCTGTTTCTAATATACTAAGCAAAAGGAAGAAAATAGCATGCAATTAAACCTTTTGTTCAATTTAATGACTGAGGAAGCTTCGTAGAAAATATGGGAGGACTCCAAACGCGGTTTTGACATGGTTTTCTGATTGGTGGAAAATTCCCTAACAACCTTAATTTATATTACCAATTTAATACACCAACCAATGTGTTTGGTAATAATAAATACACCAAATTTTATATTTTACTCATCTAAAAAACAAATAAAAAACACCAAAAACTGAGAATTAACTTTATCTAACTTTTGAATATTTTAATGGACAATATTAATATTTAAAAATTAGAAACCAGTTTATATTTAATATCCAAAATATAAAAATAATCTTTATCATTTTACAAAATATTTTTAAAAATAAGATTTTTTATTTTTGTAAAAAATATTTTTATATCAACCATATGTATACACTTTTATTGTATAATTCTTTTGACTAAAAAACATGAATACGATTAACAAAAAGATAATCAATCGTATTTTATAACATCTTAGCATTATTTGTAGATTAACTATTTTGATTACAATGTTGTAGAGTAATAAAATTACATTTTAAAATTATATTTATCAAATCAATATTTTTAAAATTAATTTATAAAAAATAATTTATCTGCACGGACTATAAAATCACATTTTAAAATTATAATTACAAAATCAGTATTTTCTAAAATTAATTTTTAAAAAATATTACCTGCGCGGCGACGTGCAGGTTAGATCCTAATAATATATAAAAGTTGATGGCTGCATTAAGGGCGTCCACATGGGATTAAGAAACTCGATCGGATTGGTCAACATCAGCATATTCATTAAATAAAAAAATGTTAAGTATGATTAGAAAGAAAAAACTTGATTTAATTGGTCCACATCAGCTTTTAAATCAAATAAAAAATTATTAAATATAATTAAAACATTAAAAATTAATTTAATAAATTATGTCCAACAAAAAAAGTAAATTCAATCTGATTGATACAAATCAACATATTTATTTAATAAGAAAATATTAATATGGTTTAAAAATTTAAAAGTTAAATAAAGAAATTAATAATTAACAATACATGTATAAAAAAAGTAACCATTATCAATTATCAATTTAAAAAAATCTACAACAACTCGATTTAACAATTAAAACAATAAAAACTAAATAAAAATATAACATAAAATTCTTGGAAGACATGATGGAGAAGGAAAAAATAGTTTTGCATGATCATTACAGCTTTTTAACAAAATTAAATGTGAATCAACATCAATCATGGATTATATATACAATGGTACACAACATCAATAAGACTTTCAATAAAAAAAACTTAAATATTTGAACACATAAACCTTCAAGAAAAAAAGAACTATAGAAATTTTATAAAAAACATAAATAATACTAAATTTTAGCAAGATTATATTTCTCTAAATCAAATGTAAATGTAAAAGGAAAAGTACTGTTTCTTGTTAGCTTGGCAAGATTCCAAAAACAAACATTTCACCAAAAAGGAAAGAAAAGAGCAGAGAAAAGCTTGGTACACACGCCTATTGGCTCTCTCTTTAAAGTCTATCATGGTAGAGAATCCAAATACATCAATTTGATTTTGGTGGTATCTTTGAATAATGTCTCGGCTTCTCTCCAAACTCTCTCCCCTCGTAAGCTAAGCTCATTCTTGCTTTTGTTCTGTCTTAGATGGTTCTTTATGTTCACTTTTCTAGAAATCTTCTACTAAGATACGGATCGAGGATTTAGTTTTAATTGCTTTTGATCCCTGTGTCGCTTATTTGGCAGATTAACAAGAGCAGGAGTGTTCGTTTATTCTCATCGTCCAAGACTGGCCCGTGTATTTCGATTTGCAGCGTCGTGGAGCCCTCGCCTGACGGCCGCGGCGACATCGGAGAAGTCTTGTTGTTCGACGTCTCGAAATTCGAGTTAGTTAGAGCGGTGAAAACATTTCCCGATGAGTTTCAGGAAGCTGCATTGGTCGGAGCTTCCCATGGGTGGGGTTTTTTCTCCAACAGAGAAGATCGCTCGGTGTTTATCAGCGACTTCCTGAACCCATATGCTTCCAAGACAGAACCAAAGATGATTCCTCTGCCTCCCTTTACTACACGGTTCGGTTGCCAAACAGAGGTCGTGTGCAACGTGGCCATGTCCTCTCCTCCTGAGCCGTATGACAAAGACTGGGCCGTTGGCGTCAAGTTCTTGGGCAAACAACTGAGTTTCTGCAGGCCTCACTGTGACATGCGTTGGACAAACATCCAAACACCTTTCGAGTCATGGGATACCTCAAAGCTAATGTATTCCAAGAAAGACGAGAGGTTCTACTTGCTTGCTCCAGGGGGCAAGTACTTATGCTCATGGGATCTAAACTTCAAGAAAGACAAGAAGCCCAAGTTCCATGAGCTGGTGTTGCACGACGTTCCCGAGATGACAAGTTCCGTATGGAAGCATATGGAATCCTTTTTCAGGGAGGATCACTGGGTCGAGTCGCCTTCAGGAGAATCTTTCCTTGTCAAATGGTTCTACGAATACACCACTGAAGGGTTCAAAACACCGACGGCGCTGGTGTTTAGAGAGGAGGACACGGTGTGTGGGAAGAAGAACATGCGTTACACAAAGGACATTGGAGATCTGTGCATTTTCATCTCACAGGGCGACGATTTCTGCGTTGAGGCCAGCTCTTGCAACCTCCACCCTAACTCCGTCGTTTTAAATGGCCGTGTGTTTGCGTTGGTCGATATCGGCAAGAGAAGATACAGTTACTATGAATATCCAGAAGGTACACCAGGCAGGATTCCTCATTCCCCGTACTGGCTTCCTCCTTTTTCGAGCTAGCTCTAAGTGCTCTCCTTGATCTTGTCTTGTGTGTTTGGTTCTGTCCTGTTTATCGGTTTGGATTACTTTTATTTCTTCTAGAATTTTTGGCTCCCCATATCAAATATTAATCACATTACGATATCAATTTTACAAGAACTACTATTACCTTAGAGAACATGTCCTGTATTTAAAACCATTAGATGATGGTGCTTTTGTTTTCTATGTATCTAAAATTTATAATATGAATATGATGTCGTGATCTTTTAGTAGCAAGAGTCTGCTGTACAAACTAACATTAAAGATTTACATAGAACATTTCATCCATTTAAGTTTAAGAGATAGAGAAGTATGAATTGATAAAATTTTGAAGTTTTATCATTACTAGGTATTTATCCGCGCTACGCTGCGGGATATTTTTCTAGATTTGTATATATTTTTAATATAATAAAATTATTTATATATTTTAAATGAGTATTATATTTATTTTTTGTTAGCTTAAGTTATGTATTTATATGTTTTAAATCTGAATAAACATTATATATCATTAAGTTTTTTATTTTTAAAAATTATAATCTACTATCAAATTTGTTTAGCTAAATATCTATAAATGTATATGTAAGAATAAAACAATACATTTTTAAGTACCTTCAAGCTAATGGTAGATGTAATTTATTTTCTCTACCTTAATTGCTACTTGATCCTCCTTTGAACTTATATAAAGCAAATTACCATTTTAAAAAAAAATATTAATTAATATGATTATTTTAAATTATAAAATTTATTTATTTATCAAATATTTATTATAGACATATGTTTCTAAAACTACCAAACTATAATCAATAACATTCATATCAAAATCATTACTATTCTTTTAGAACTAAATAGAAAGTTCTATTTGAACTGTTAAAATATCAATTTAGTTGAAGTTAAATAATTCAATTTTGGTTACTATAAACATATTATAACTTGAAAATTTAACACAGATAAATTTTATCTTTTTACAAAAACCGAGAAATTGCATTTTCTGATAAAACAAAAAAAATATTTCCCACGAAACTGAAAAATCGCTTATTCCCGCCAAAACAAAAAAAAATTCATTTTCTCGTCAAACCTAAAATTTCATTTTCCTACCAAAACAAAGAAATTGCATTTTTCCTCAAAAACCAAAAAATCATATTTTCCCGCAAGAACCTGTGTTTTTCTGTCAAAACAGAGAAATCAAGTTTTTCACCAAAACCAAAAAATTTCATCTTCCTGCAAAAATAAAAAATAGTATTTCTCCGTCAATATCAAAAAATTATTTTCCTGCAAAAATCGAGAAATCGTCTATTCTCACCAAAACAAGAAAAAAATATTTTTCTCGTCAAATCAAGAATCACGTCTTCCTACAAAACCGATAAACTACAATTTTTCGCAAAAACTAAAAATTGCATTATCTCCTGAGAAATTGTGTTTTCCACAAAAACTAAGAAATCATATTTTCCCTCGAAAACCAAAAACAAATTATATGTCGAAAACTGAATATTTGCATTTCCCATCAAACCCAAGAAATTGTTTATTCTTGCCAAAATCGAGAAATTTTACTTTTCTATCAATCCGAGAAATTGCATTTTCTGCCAAAATTGTCAAATTACAATTTTTCGCAAAAATCAAAAAATTACATTATCCATCAAAAGCCGAAAAAATGCATTTTCTATCAACACCGAGAAATCGTATTTTTCGTCAAAATTGAAAAGTTGCATTCCCTCACATTTTCTCGTCAAAATTAAATTTTTTATTTCTCACTAAAACCAAAAATTCACATTTTGCCACCAAACCCGAAAATTCGTTTTTTCCACCATCACCGAGAAACTATGTTTTCCTACCAAAACTGAAAATCTTATTTTTTTACCAAAACCAAGAAATTCTCTATTTCCGCCAAACCCAAGAAAATTTGTTCTCGGTAACGAGTGGAAATGCGAATCTCCAAGCCGTGGTGGTCTGAGTTTCTCCTCATTTTCTTTCGCCTTCTATTTTTTTTTGTAAACTTTGTGCTTTTTAATGGGTCATCAAAATAGTAAATTGATTTTATTAATGTGTTAATAATATGTATTATTGTTATGTTTTTATTGGTTCAAATTTTTGCTGATGTGTGAGCTTCTTATAACATAACGCTTTTTGCATTGTTGTTATGGAAGCATAGTTGATGATGAGTCTACACTTTCTTCAATCATATACATTTCTATCAAGCAAACACATAGTTAAAAATTTTAATTTTTTTTGCTGTTATTTATTATTTGAGTTTTGGTTTGGCAAAAATATAAAACAAAGATTTAATTTTATTATTTGTTGTTATTTATTATTTAGGTTTGTTAAAAAAATAAAACAAAATTTTTTTTATTTACTGTTATTTATTATTTGGGCTTGGGCTTGACCAAAAAATAAAACTAAAATTAAAAATAAAAAATATTTGAGTTTTTAATAGGTTTAAATTTAAAAGTTAAAATAAATTGATGACTTGTATTAATGAAATGTTTTTATTGGTGTTTTTTTTTGCTGAAGTGTCATCTCCTAAAAACTTAAAAATGCTGATGTGTCAAGCCATGGAGAGACTTATGGATTATTGTTGTGTTGATTAATTAATTTATAAAAATTATACGGTATTTGTACAGCTTTTATAACAATTGTGAGTGGACGACGGTAATGAATAATGATGATGGGTAACAAATTCAAAAGATTAAAAAAAATATTATATAAAGAAAAAGTATAAAAGAATAAATGGAAGGAAGATCATTTTTACCTATTCGTAGCGACTACCTTGGCTTAGCAACTGGCAAGATTCCAAAAAATAAAATTTTATCAAAAAAGAAAGAAAATATTGTTAGCCAAGCCGATTGCTTTCTTTAAAGGGTAGAAAAGATGGTAGAGGATCTAAATACAGCAACTCAATTCTGGGTTTCGTGTTTGATATCTTTCAATAATGTCTCGGCTTCTCTCCAAGCTCTCTCCACTTGTAAGGCGTAAGCTTAAGCTCTTTCTTGCTTTTGTTCTGTCTCAGATGGTTTATTTTAGAAGTCTTTTGCCAAAGAAATCTGATTTTCTTGCTTTTGTCACAATCTGGTTGAGATTGCTCTATGCTTAGCGAAGAGGACTGTAGTAGTTTAATTGGTTTTGATCTCTGTGTTGCAGATGCACAAGAGCAGGAGCGTTCGTTCGTTTTCATCGAGCAAGACAGGCCCGTTTATTCTGTTTAACGCAACTGCGAAACCGCTGCCGGAAGGCGGCAACATCGGAGAAGTGGTTGTGTTCGACATGGCCAAAGCAGAGTTACTCGAACTCACGGAAAAAACAATCCCGGGAGAAATAGTTTCGGCCAAAGGCCTCGGAGCTTCCAAGGGGTGGGGGATTTTCAGTGACCCGCAAGATCGCTGCGTACTCATCACGGACTTCATGAACCCTTGGTCTTGCAAATCGAACCCGAAGCTCTTCACACTGCCTCCGCTTACTCCTCTGCCCCTTTGCCAAACCGATGTCGTATGGAGCGTGGCAATGTCCTCTTGTCCTGATGATGACCAAGACTGGGTTGTTGGCATCAAGTCCTTGGGTGACCAGCTCAGTTTCTGTAGGCCCCGCCGTGACTTGCGCTGGACTAAGATCCAAACGCCTCGTGGCCACTTTCCAACCTCAAATCTAATGTATTCCAAGAGAGATGGGCGGTTCTACTTGCCTGCTCTTGGAGGCCACCACTTGTTGTCCTATGATCTCCACTTGGACAAGCCTGAGTTCCATGAGCTGCAGTTTCGAGACTTTCCAGAGTCACTCGAGCCTGAGTTGGATCTGTCGGAGCTGATTTCTTCTTCTTCCAGGACGGAACACCTCGTGGAGTCACCCTCCGGAGATGAACGTTTTCTCATCAAATGGTATATATATATATATACTCTAGTCTCTCTACTCTCTAGCTAGCTAGTGGCATATGAATATATACATTGGTTGTTAAACTATCGTTGGTTCTTGCATGCAGGTACGCCAACAGCTGTTTGGCTTCGAAAAAAGTCTCATATGAAACGCAGCTGTTCATGGTGTTTAGAGAAGAGGAGACGACAGAGGGAAGATTAATGTGTTACACTGATGACATTGGAGATCTATGCATCTTCATTTCAAAGGGCGAGGCCTTTTGCGTCCCGGCAAGCTCTTTCCCTGGACTCCAACCAAACTCCATCTATTTTATAGGCTTTGGCTTTGGCGTTCACGATCTTACCACCAGAACCACCACTACTTTACAAGGTCCCAAAGATTCACTGGATCAGGTTCTGGTCCCTTACTGGTTTCCTCCATCTTCTAGCTAGAGCTACGATTGGCTTGCATCGTTTTTCTACACTTTCTCACCACTCTCTAATCAAGATCTTCGTTTGTACTCACTAACCTTTCTGACGATATTAAGTTATGCTCAATGATAGTAGCTAGTTGGGTTCTGTAGATATGTTTTGAAAACACACGATGTTCACTCGATTGGTTTATAAAAAACAAGAAGTATATATCCCATTTATAAAAACCATGAACTTTGCGTTTGTTATTTTTGTTTTATTTTACCAAATTACATGCAAATTCCAACCAAAAAGGGAAATTTTTAAAAGTTATTTTTTTATGCAGTAGATAAACTATGGAAAAGTAATTTAATATTTTTATATGGCCATTAACTTTCAAGTTAAATTATGAAAGATTCGCACACAAACATTTTGTTTTAGCCGGAATGAGAATGCAAGCAAACGCAAGATGATGCGGAATCGAGGGTCTACACCAAATGTAATTTGGGCATTGCTCGTTTCAAGTATCCACAGAGAGATTTAGCATTGAGATAATAAGATACATAACGCAATCATAGAAATATTCTCCTTCCACATATTAATTTAGTCAAATGCTGATTCAGCCCGGTTAGCCTAAAATTTCAAAATAGCTTTTGCAGCTCAAAAACATTACTGATTCAACTAAAGAAGTCACAGAGATTTTCAACTTCAAGTCAATTAGTTAAGAACAAGAATCAATTGAGGTCACTCCTTGCACTTAATAAAAACATATGAGAGAGATTAAGAGATGTTAGAATTTGTAAAGAAAGTTTGGGGTGATCAATATTGGTGTAATGAACTGTTATTTCTTAATATGTCTGTATTGGGCCATCAAACTTAAGGCCCATTAGTTTCCTCCAACTTCCGCTTAGTGAATTTGTAAGCTAAGTTTTTGGTAAAAAAAAAGCTTTGTCAAACGTTGACCCAAAAAAAAAAAAAGCTTTGTCAAAAAGATAGGGTAGTTTTTTGTTCGAATGCCCTACATTAATGCGCTTGTTGTTATTATGCATATTAATAATAAGGATAGAGAAGTTTGAAATCAACTGCTAAAGATATGAAAATGACTCCAAGGTAAAAGAGCCAATGAGTAATGGTGAAATTTGATTCGGATTAGATCTTTAAATACATTTCGATAAATAAAAGACAACTAAATAATTACTAACAAGGTTAAATCAATGATGCGCAGTGAGGCATCGTTAGTGTATGAGATTTTTGTTGTATACTTGTTTATTCTGTCAGCAAATTTTGTAACAATTATGAGTGGACCACCGTAGTAAACAGGGAGTAAATAATGACGGGTAACAAATACAGAAGAAGAATAATAAAAAAATAGAAAAGCGGAATATGAAAATGAAAAAGCAGAGATCATTGTTTCCTATTAGTAGCATAAGATATGGGAAAATGAAATGTGAAGATAGAAGATTTATTTTAACAAAAAAAAGAAGAAAATACATAAAAGATTTTACATACAGTATCACATGTTCATCGACTGAAGGTTAAGATAGAGATGTATGGATTATGAAATGTGGTTGGGTCAGAATGTATAGTTGTTTGTTTATTCGGTCTAAAAGTTATTATTATATATTCTGTAACAATTGTAAGTGGGACCACGGTGATGAACAATGATGTGTAACAAAAAGAAAAAAAAAAAGAAGAGGAACAAAATATAGAAAATATAATTGTTTAGTGTTAGTACGTACTTGGTAGAGCGATCCCAAAAAGGAAAGAAAAGAGCAGAGAAAAGCTTGGTAGCCACGCCATATTGCAGCTCTTAAGAATTTATGATGGTAGAGACTCCAAAAACATCAATTTTAGTTTTGGGATTCGTTTTGGGAGTAATAATCTCTCTCTCTTTCTTGCTTTTTTGTCCTCCCACCAAAGAAGTATAATCGAACATCATATTTTTACTGTATTGTTGTCAAGAAAAAGTAAAAAAATAATAAATTACCACATAGACAAACTGTTTTACCATCCCAACTAAAACAAAAACAATGCTGAAGAGAGTGAGAGACCATAATGTGTTCAGGCTCCTGACAAGGACGCTGAGCTGGACAATAAGACAAGGTCAACGAGATTTGGGCTTCCATGTTTAGATATTTTTATGTATATATATATATATAATGTATTACTTGCAGTTTGCATATTTTATTAATTATTTCATTTTGAAAGACCATCTGTAACTAAACCCTATAAAAATATGTACGTCAAAACGTATGAAGTGGTAATAGAGGATAACCAATTTTTGATAGAAATTTTATGGGGGAAAGTTTTTGAAAAATAAGTGCAAAATAAAGAATAACAATTTTAGAGAAAATTAAGAAGATTTGTTGTATACTTGATTATTAAGAGTAGTAGATAATGATAGGTGACAAATACAGAAGAAAAATATAAAAATAAAACATGTGTCTTAATCTCTTTCCTAGGGTTCTAGCTTTTAAAAGCTCTATATATCTCTGGCCAGTGTCTTCATCGTAAAAAGACAAAATGGTCAGAGAGTTCTTCATTATTAGATGGTGATATATTACTACTGCACTCTGAAATTCAGCGATCGCATTATCTTCACAGATGCAATTCAATTATACGTTTTGCAAGACCGACAGGGTCTTACTCAGTCTTAGGCAATGAATGTGGTAGTAATCTTTCTATATCTTAAAAGCTCATGTTAGTGTAAAAGCTAACGTTACTAATTTATGAGTTGCTTTAATGTGAACTCTGAAGTCGTCTGAACCTCGATTTTAATTGGTAAGTAAATATGAGAAATGGTTTGTAGATACTTTAAAAATATATATTTTAACCCTAATAAACCAAAAGAAATTTAGAAGTTACATTTAAAAGCAAAAGATTCAATGGATGAAATTGATAATGCCCACAAGTTGCAAACTTATCTCACAAATCTCATTGTGGGGGAATGAATTTTCACAAGTGACTCATTAGGCTCAAGTAAAAGAAAAGACTAGGTTTCCTGACATTTGACATTTGGCATGCGATGTCACAAACAATAAGAAGCCACGGTGAGTTATACATCACCATAGAGTGTCCCTCAGAGAAGTTGTAGAAAAAATGTCACTAATCTCGACTGTACAGGAATCAATTTATAGATATGAACCGTAATCTATAATATTGAACGTAGCAAAACGCAGCAGATTTGACAAATTCATCCAGCAAGAGAAGGATTTATCTCTCAACCAAACAACGCATTCAAAGAGGACATGAGAAAGAAAATATATGGTGAAAAGAACACAAAATCTTGAATAGAAGGTAATAAAAAAAATTGAAAAATTAGAATTAAGAAGGAGAACCTCTCTCTTTCCTTCTCTTTCCTAGGTTATAGTTTCAAAACTTATCTCTCTCCTGTCTTCGTCGTAAAAGAGAATTAAGATTGTCAGAGTTCTTCAATATCGAGATGGCGATATATTCCTGCTCTCTGAAATTCAAAGTTACTCTTACACTTCTGGCGATGGCAACCCTCATTGAATTTGTTCATCAATGAACAAGCTGCAATGGTTGGTGGGTTCACACTATTTAAACCACATTAACCTATCAAAACCGATACAAACATCTTTCCAACCTCACAAATGGCTTCTTCTTCTCCTTCCAAATCTGCACTTAAAAGACTTGCTGCCACCATTGCCGCAAGACTTAGCGTAATGCAGACCGTGAGGATTAAGAACCACCAGAAATTCCATGCAACTGTTACCGAAGCCATCACATCCAACACGTTCGTTCCAGGAGAGTGCATGGTTCTCCAGATCGCCAAGAAGACAGCAAAGGCGTTTGGTATCTCCGAAGATGACGTTGAGGTTGTCCCCATGCACAACGGCTGGCTCTCAGCACAGTTCACCCACCGTGTAAAGACCCCGATGCCTCCTCCGCAAGGCAAAGATAAAGGAAAAGGACAACCTCAACCTCCGGTGGAAACAGAGACAGTTTACAAAGTGGTGAAGGCCAGTGGCATGATCAGGATCTACCGTGAGCATAGGCCGACAAATGAGAAAGAAGAAAACTTGGGAGGGGAATTCTGCATCGAGGAGTATCAGCGCCCACCTCGTACTCCCTAAGAGATGAAGACGATCACCTCACGCAACCACCGTTACTTGTCCTCCGTTAATGGTGTTTTTTGTGTGCTTATCCGTTTATGTTGTTGTTGTTGTTGTTCGTTTTTCGTATTGGTTTTCTGCTTGTTAGAACTTGTTTCTGAAAATTTCTATAATATGAACTATGAAGACTTTGTTTCTATGCTTTGATAACTACCAACATGACTTAATTACTTGTTTAGCTATGAAAAATATCTAACCAGTGGTGTCAAATCTTATTAAACACGTTGAATGGGGAAAAAAAAGTTCCTTGTTTCACAAGAAAAGAGAAGTCTATTAAGTGGAATACTCTATTAAGTAAGCGTTAATGTTAAATCTCCAAGTTTCTCTAAACACTCTCACTTCTCTGTTCTCTCCATAGTTCTTGAACTTTGAGTTTGAGTCTATACACCACTCAGAATCTAACTCTTTTGAGTGACCCTGACAATAAAAGAGGAGCGGATATCAAATAATATCGCCCAAAGAAATGGAAACTTTGATACACATATAAATCTTGACTGGCTCTAATTTGCAAAACAGAACAGTACGTAGCAGAGAAAATTAAACATGAGTTTGATAAGAAACGGTCGATCGACAGTCTTGGCCTTGAATCCTTCCAGCAAATCCTTCATTAAATCACCTGAAGATGTTGAGTCCAATAAAAACAAATGGTCTTAAAATGTTCAGACAAAACAAATGAACTAAGCTCGATGGGGACTCCAATGAAACAAGGAATAGGCCGATCACTAACCTGTCCTGTAGTAGCTTCAGTTTCAGTATGAAGTTCTCGCACCTACACATACCACAATCATCACTCAACTCAATATTAGGAATAAAAGAGTAATCAATATGGCAAAAGCAAAACTAAAATCATCGCTTTCCTCTGATGCATGTTACTCAAGACTTTCAACCGCCCAAAACAGACTCAACAAAGATGTCCCCTGTGATTGTGATCACGAAGCAGCCATGATGATACACCACAATTTTGTAGAGAACTGATTCATGAAGAGCCCACAGAACATGACAAAGCTCTGTTCTGTTGTGGTCTGGGCTTCTTCAGCAGATTTAACAGTGCTGAATTCTGAGGAGGGATCACCGAGAGGTTCCAGGTCTGTGTCTGTCCACAGTTTTGACAGTTAAAGAGTACATGACAAATATGGTTTCCGGTTCCAGTCCACAGTTTTGACCACACGACTTTTTGGAGAAGCCCCATATGCATTTGTCATCGATACTTGGAAGTTGGAGCATGAGTATGTAAGTAGCGTCTTTCTCAACAAAAGAGCTGGTGCCATTTCATCCAACCTTTTGCTAAAATTATGTTTTGGAATGTATGTTATTAATTTATTTTAACACTATATATATATATATATAAAAAGTTAACTCTTCTTAAATTAGTATTAATTCATTTAATCTATTTTATAATTACATCTATAATAAATATTATCATAAATTTATACCATTTTTAATAATACATACTATAATTTCTACTGCAAAAAATTACCACTCAGTGTTTTTATAAAAACTAGATTAGTACCAGCACGTTTGTGTATAGTAATATTTGTAAAAATATCTAAGAGATATTTTATAATTTGTTAAGTTTCAAAATATTTAGATATATAAAAATGTTCAGTTAATATTTTTAAAATTTTAGTTATTTTTGTTTTTAATTTAAACTTGTACAGAGCAAGATTTACATTTACTTTCAATCCGAGGTATTCAAAAATAATATATTTTTTTTGTTTGTATAATATATGAATTAACATCTAAAACAAGGAAATAATTTTTATTTCTATTAATAAAACAGAAAATTAATTTAATTTACTAAACCAATAAAATTATCGAATTATTCATGATCGGTTCGATTTAAATTCAGTTTAAATTAAATAATTTAAAATAAAGTGGTTGGTAATAAAAATAGTATATACAAATAAATTAATAAAATATTTAAAAAATAGATAATGACACATAAACTTATAATGATTCATATTTAATATTTGTTAGATACTAAATCATATTTCTATAGCAAACTCATCACATAAATTTACAGTTTTTACCAAAAAATTTTATTGCAAACTTACATCAAATTATAACATCAACTATAAATCAACATTAAAATTAAATGTCACTAGTCGGAACGTAGAAATCTCCTCTTTAATAAGAACACTCTACTATCTCACTCTCTCATTCTCTCCTTCGTAGCTTCTAGTTTTTAAAGTTTGCTATCTCTCTGGTATTTTGAATATTTTAGGCAAAAGAGAATCAAAATCAAAAAGACTCAATTTCTTCGATATTGATATCTTCCTACTCTCTCAAAATCCAAAATTTAGCCTCTTCTTATCTCTGCGATTGCCACCCTCATCAATGAAAGTTTCAAAGAGCAATGGTTGGTGAGTTTCGGTTATTTAAACGACAAAACAAAACAAATTAGAATCGTAGATGACTATTAAAAGTCTAAAAAAACATCTCACACATGATTGATATAACATTGGACTGTAAGAAAAATGTAAGCTGTAAATAGCACTTAGACCTCTAGAAAAGCATACGCGGCCATACCCGAAAATATTGACATACAATATGATCACAAAGCCAATACCTTGTGGAATTACCCTAAAACACCTATGGATTTGAGCAAAAAAAAAAATGACCAAAATTTGAGCAAACTAAGAAGAACAATTGTGAGTGGACCACGGTAGTAAATAATGATGGGTAATAAATACATATGAAAAAAATAAAAATAGAACATGTCTCTTTCCTAGGTTCTAGCTTTTCAAAGCTCATCTTTCTCTGGTGTTTTCATTGTAAAAAGGAATCAAAATTGTCAGAGAGTTCTTCAATTTTGGGATGTCTATATATGCATACTCTCTGACAAGGCAATAGAGAAGCCAAACGACATGCGGTTATGCAAGGTTGTCAAAGCAAATGCCAAAATCAGAATGGTCTGCGAGCCTCTCTCAACGGGTGAGAAAGAGTCCCATTTGGAAGGGGAAGTCTTTCTCAAGGAGTTTCAACGCTCAAATACTCCGAGCTGACAGTGACAATTGAAGGACAAGATCAAATTGTTTATGTTGCTTATTTTTGTTTATCTTATCATGTCTACTCTTGTTGTTGTTTGTTTTCTATTCTTTCTTCGGGTTTGCCTTATCATGTTTACTCTATTGTTGTTTGATTTTCTGTTATTTTTCCTGGTTTGCTATTGTCAAGTTCTATCTTAGTTTGTAATTTGTCTGTTTTCCCTTAGTAAGCGTTAATGTTAAATCTCCCAAATTTCTCTAAACATTCTTACTTCTCTGTTTTCTCCATATTTCTTGCAAAATTGACAATACATATAAGGTGTTTAATGGCAGAGATAAAGTAAACACTTAAATAATTGATGGATAACTTATTTAAAAAAAAAAAAGACATTAAATAATAACTAATTCATAAACTAACCACTTAATCAAGAAGCCCATATTATTTTTGTAACAAAAAAATGTTCTGTTTCTTACATAGCTCTGTTTATGCTACTTGGAGCACGAGTGTATAAGTAGCGTCTTTCTCAACAAAAGAGCTGGCGTTAACTCAAGCCATTTCATCCAACCTTTTGCTAAAACCCTCCAAAGCAGAGGAGACCCACACGACATTCTCTGCCTCAGGAATACTCAAAATATAAGGGAAGATCACAAAACCTTATCAGAGACGCGATTGCTGCTTCCATTTAATAGCTCTGGTGCCATGGAAGTGTTCCCATTTTACTCTTGACAATCCAAAATCATCAACCTGCATAACCTCAAATATGAAACAGTATTGAACATGATTCAAAGCAGAGATTTTTACAACATATGTGATCTTTGTGGGAATGGGTTTTGTTACCTTGCATATTGGTCGTTGTGGATCTCTCAAGTTAACAAGCTAGTTATCACATTTTAGATCGAAATAAACAATGTTCATCATATGTAAATACTCCTTGCCAAATGCTTTCATTCTCGATGCTATCCTCACCAAGCGACCTGTGTGAATACTTTCATCCGGATTTAGAACCACCACTTGTAATCTCATAGATTATGAGACAAGTTTGTTACCAAAAGAGCTAACAATGGTCCAGCTGCATTGAGACTGTCCTCGACACCAAAAAAAGAAAAGGATTTTCCCTTAGACCCACGTTGAAAATATATCAAAGAATTAGTTTTATATGTTTCCAAAACCATTAGATGATGGTGGTTTTGATTTCTATGTATCTAAAAACTTACAATATGAGTATAATTTATACGTTATCTTTTAGTTGCAAGAGTCTGCTGTACAAATAACATAAAAGATTTACATATAACATTTTCATCGACTTAGTTGAAGAGATAGAGAAGTATGAAATGTGGTTGGGTAAGAATTTATTGTATTATAGCTTAGTAACAATTGTGAGTGGACGCTGATAATGAATAAGTAGCCAGCTTTGCATTACTTTTGTACCAAGGAATGTATATCACCTAATATGTCACATTAGACATAACCGATTAATCTATTTTAATTCTCCAAGCCACCACAATAATATTCGAACGAGAGATCTTATACATTTCATAACAATACTTCGAACCAAAGATCTTATTACATTTCTTGTTTCTTTTTCGTGGCTTAAAATCCTTAATACATGTCACAAGTTCACAACACTCGTGTAGTCGTGTCCGTACTTATTATCTTCGAACCGGAATACTTTGTTCATTCCTCCAAAAGTTTTCCGCATCGATTGAGGATTTGATATCCACTAATCTTTCGAAATTGTCTTTAAAATATTTATTCCCATAGATTTTACCTTGCTCGTACGTGGAATTAACACCTGATCCTACGTCAAGATCACGGTAATTAAAAAACGCCTCCCTAGGATTACTAGACACGTACGGAGTCATGAATCTGTATATCTCCCTCGCACGTGCCAAATGATCCCTCTCCACGTCATCTCCAGCTTTCGACCAGTCAATGAGATACTCAATGTTGAACAAATTGCCTGCTCTGTGTGGGAACGGTGTCCTCGAACTCGGGATCTCACCCATCCTCCCTCCGTACGGATTCCAATTCATTTCTACTTTCTCAATCTCCACCAGTTTCTTCAGTATTAAACCGAGACCGGTTCTTGAAATTGGGCTCTTCACGTAGTCAGATTTCCGCTTCATGAACAACTTGTTTGTGATTTTCGGGTTTAGCAGTACAGAAGTCGGTGTACCAATCGGATAACCGGCCCAAAACACCACCGAATCGATCCATCTCATTTCGGTACAATCAGTTACCTTCAGCTTTAGTTCAGGGAAGTCCCGGTTCATCACGGTCAACATCTTATCCGACCGGCCTAAATACATCCCAATGAAGGAGGCTAAAACCGTCTTTTCACCTGTCTTCGTACCGTTGACTAGAGTCAACGTCAGCCTCACGAACAAATTTCGATCCGTACTGTGAGCGAAACTCTGCCACTTCATTATAAGATCGACGGCTCCTTCTCCGACGGTTTTTCTGACGCTGAACACTGTAACTTTCTCCGGCACCGGAACTAGCTGGATTTTGTATCCCAGCACGACGCCAAAGCTCGCAGCTCCACCTCCTCGAATCGCCCAGAAACGATCTTCCCCCATCGAAACGCGATCGGTGAATATATTCCCATTCGAATCAACGATTCCGGATCCGACGACGTTATCCACCGATAGTCCGTACTTTCTCATCAGATTCCCGTACCCTCCGCCGCTAAAATGCCCGCCGACACCCAACGTCGCATACAAACCCGCCGGAAATCCGAGAACATTGCTCTTCTCTGCAATTCGGTAATAAAGCTCTCCGATCGTAGCGCCGGAATCGACCCAAGCCGTTTTCTCGGTGAGATTGACGTTGACGGATCTGAAATCGAACATGTCGAGGATGAAGAACGGGACTGTGGAGGTGTAAGAGAGCCCTTCGAAGTCGTGGCCGCCGCTTCGGATCCGTACCTGAAGAGAGAACTCGCGGGCGCATCCTAACGCCGCCTGAATGTGTGTCCACGTGGCGGCGGCGACGATGGCGAAGGGTTTTGGGGTTGTGGGTTTGTCGAAACGGAGGTTGGGTATGCGGCGGCGGAGGACGGCGGTGAAGGAGGAATTCGTTGGGATGTAGGCGACGGCGGAGTTAGGACTCGTCGGGTCCGTGGGTTGTCGATCAAGACATCGGAGGAAGGCCACTGGATCGGTCACGGATTGTGAAGTTGCAATTGATGTTGAGATCAGTAGCAGAGAGAGTACGAGTAATTTCTCCATTTTGTTGCTGTTTTTACGTTTTGGGACTTTGGATTATATTTTTGAAAGCTCGTGTATATATAGATGAAAGTGATTCAAAAGAGGATTAACTAAATTTTTTATAAAGTCAAAGGATGTCAAGGAATTAAATTATTAAGTGAAAGATAACTTCCTCCATTTATTTAAAATAAAACTCCGAAGTTCAAAACAAAGCATCAAACCAAAAAAACTCATAGAGTACGTAATAGTAATACGGAATTCGTAATTGCAAGTATTAAGGAATAAGTCATTATTATCCACTGATTCTGGATGTTAACATGTTAATCTCGGTTTCGGATCTAGATTTGCATGATTGCATACATTTTGTTTTTCCCTCATTGTTTTGACTTTTGACAGCTATAGTTTTTTATTTCCGATTTAATGTTAATAGTGGACTAAACATATTGGCAGTATGCATATTGAACTTTGACTTTTGCATAATTGTATTTATGAGCAGCACACTGGTACGCCATAGCCGATAACGCGTCAGTATCTAAATATTTGACTTTAAAAACTTTGTTGTTCTGAAGTGTTCATATGATATTTTTTGGAGATTAACTGAGAATTTTGTAGCTTTTGCGTGTACGTGAATCGTGATGCAGTACCGATCATTATTTTGGCATAAATTAAGATCTCTCAAGAGATATTTGATCTAATCTGTGTTAGGCCTGGGCGCAGAGCAGATATTCGGAAAATTTTAAGTATTTGTGGTTTGCTCCGTTTTTACCGGATATCTGATTTTGTGATTTGCTTTGCTTCGAAAAAATACGGATATTCGGAAATGCGGATATCCGGAAAATTTACAAATATTTGCGGATATTTGCGGATATTTACGAATACTTATGGATATTAAATTTGTTTTATTCAATACAAGTAAAAGGTGAAAATACATACCATTCTTTTCAAAATATGAACTACCAATTAAAAATAAGTGAAATAACTATTTTTATTTAAAAAAATAGATATAAATAATAAATTATAATGATAGAAAAATAAAAACTATGTTTTATATTCTGAAAAGAATATTAATTAATTAAAACTCTAATATAAACTTTTCTAATTTAATTTCAAATATTTGATAACTATTATAGATGTTTATTACTTACTTTAAAATTATTATATGTATTTTTTATCATACATATTATTTTTTATTTGTTAATAAGATAATTAAACTATATAAAAATATTAAAAATTTATAATATTAATATATATATATATGTAATCTGCGGAGCGGATATCCGAACTTTCAAAAATTAGTATTTGCGATTTGATTTGTTTTAGACGTATACTATATTTTAATATTTGCTTTACTTTAAATCGTTACGGATATCCAAATTTTTCGGATCGAATCAAAGCAAATAACGAATCGAATCAAATATAACGGATAATATATCCACCCTATTCTGTGTATCGTGCAAATCTTGTTTATTAAACCCCGTGTTGACCGTTTATATAGTCAGAAGCGTTGAATATCTTAGTCAATAAAATGTATCATCTTGCGTGCATGCGAGTGTGTTGTTGTCAGTATTATTTTTATAAATACTGGTTTCCGTATTTTTTTTCCCAGCATCACTCATTTAAAAAAAAAAATAGAATACATTCATGATCAGACTAAAGTCTGAATACAGAATACATTCATGTGTTGACAATTCCAACACATTTATTTTCGAAAGTACATATACAGACAAACAATTGACTACCTCATCTTTCTAATTGAGAGAGGTTTAAAGTCTGAATTCGATAAAAGCAGAGAGCTCAAACTCTTCGCCTATCAAACGATTAAATTATTTATTTCAATTTTAATATTAAAAATATAAAATATGGTAAAAAAAGTTCTCAATAGAAGCAAGAGTATGTCCCTTGTCTCTTGTCTCTAGTACCTGGAGAGCACAGGAATGCTTTGTTCGTACCGGAAAAAGTTGTCTGGATCAACTCTGCTCTTCACCTGAACTAATCTCTCGAAGTTATTCTTAAAGTACTTCACTCCGTACACTTTGCCTTCCTCGTACGTAGAGTTCGAGCTTGTTCCAATGTTAACGTCTCTATAGTTCAAAAACGCCTCTCTTGGATTCTTCGACACGTAAGGGGTCATTGCCTCGAAAACTCTTTCCGTCTGGCTCAAGCAATCGTTAGCCACTGCTTCCCCTGGCACAAACCAGTTTGCTGCGTACTGGATCTTGAACATGTTGCCTGCTCTATGCGGAAACGCTGTCTCGGTCGATGGAATCTCGCTCATCCTCCCTCCGTACGGGTTCCAAGCCATTGTCACGTTCTCGTTCTCTAGCAGAACCTTGAATATCGCATCTAAACCGGTTCTTGAAATCGGTTTTTGCACGTAGTCGGATTTTCTCTTGAGGTAGATTTGCCTTTGCGGAATTCGGTTTAGCATACTCGTGGTTGGTGCTGTACCGGGTGGGATACTGAGCCAGAACAGAACCGACTCGACCCATTTCATTTCTATACATTCTGTTTTGTTCAGGGCAAGCTCCGGGAATTTCGCGTTGGTGATTTCTAGAAGCTTCGACGAGTTTCCGAGGAACATTCCCATGAAAGAAGCCTTCACGGTTTTGTTGCTTGTGCTAAAAGTTAGTCTTATGAACAGATCGTTGTCGATCTTGTCTGCGATCTCTTGCCATTTGACTACAAGTTCCGTGGTGTTCACGCCTCCTTTGTTTCCGACGGTTTCAACGTTAAAGACTGTGACTTTCTCAGGCACCGGAACAAGCTTAATCTTCCAGGCTAAGACAACACAGAAACTAGCGGCTCCACCGCCCCGTAAGGCCCAGAAAAGATCTTCTCCCATTGAGCTCCGGTCCAAGACTCTTCCTTTAGCATCGACGATCTTAGCGTCAATGATGTTATCGATCGATAAACCGTATTTCCTCATCATGTTTCCGTAACCGCCACCGCTAAAATGCCCGCCGGCGCCTAGACCGGGACAGATTCCGGCTGGAAATCCACGGAGATCGTTGCTTTTGTTGGCGACTCCATAGTAGATCTCTCCAAGCGTAGCACCGGATTGGACCCACGCGGTGTCGAGTTTAGGATCGAACTCGATAGACCGGAGGTTGAACATGTCTAGAACGACGAAATCGACTGTCGATAAATAAGACATACCGTCGTAGTCGTGGCCTCCGCTACGGATACGGAGCTGGAGGCTGAATTTTTTGGCGCAGGTGATCGTGGCCTGGATGTGAGTGACGTCAGCGGCGGCTACGATGGCGACGGGTTTACGTGTCGTGTTGTTGAAGTAACGGAGGTTACGGACGTAGTTGTTGAGGATTGTGGTGAAGTTAGGGTTTTGTTGAGTGTATATGAAGTTTTGGATAGGGAATTTTGGGTTTGAAGGTTTGAAATCGGCGATGCATTGTGTGAAAACGTTTTCGGGTGTTTGTGGTGAGGCGAATGATGTTTGAATTGTAAGGAGGAAAATTGTGAGGGTTAGTGTTTGGATTGTTAGAGGTTTCATTTTCTTCTGTTTCTTGTTATTTTGTTTAATATGGTTTGAAAGATTCATCTAGGGATTTGCATTTCTTATATATTTGTTAATTTGACGTGAATAGACAATCGGCTATTCTTGTAAATGTATATCTTTTTAGTAGATTGATATCTTTGTAAAATAGTCAATTACTCAATATGGAGAGATTCAATGCTTAAATATGGTGATTCTAGTGAATATTATACTAAATTATATAAGCTCAACTTATCCGGTCTATTTTTTGAATGTTAGGTGTGTGTAATACATATAGAATCATAGAAATAAATTTCTAAATAACTTCATCCGCATCCTTATTTCCGGAAAAGAAAGACTTAAATATATATATGTCATCAATTTCAAAATTTTGAAGATTTTGTTCTATTCTAACATCACTTTCAGAAAAATAAAAAGTCTTCCGTTTTTGTGTTTTTTCCTCAATTATTTTGATCACTTTTGTCAAGGCTAGATTACTCCATAAAGCTAATCATATTAATTGATACGTGATCATTTTTATAATGTAAACATTAAATATTATATACAACGAAATTTAATATACTTTTTGTAAACATTAAAATTTCCAACAAATCTAATAGCCCATAGAAAAATCAGAATTGATCTACCAAGGACACAGATTAGACTTACAACATAACAATCAAATATACAACAGCAGTTACACTAATCAATAATATCATCAAATGTATAATAATACTATGGTTTAACAGGAATACTCTGCTCGTTCCTGAAGAAATTACCATTATCAACGCTCGTCTTGATCTTCACCAACCTCTCGAAGTTTCCGGCGAAATACTTCTCCCCGTAACGCTTACCTTCTTCATAGCTCCTGATTCTTCCTCTGTGAGAATTGATTCCCAAATCAACATCCCGATAATTGAAAAACGACTGTCTCGGATTCTTGGAAACGAAAGGAGTCATGAATTGGTACAACTTCCTCGTCAGTTCAATATACCGGGTGGTTAATCTATCCTCTCTCCAATTCGCACCGTACTGAATCTTCCAGAGATTCCCTTCTCTGTAAGGGAACGGAGTCGCCGTCGACGGAATCCTCGCCATCTTGCCGCCGTATGGATTCAAAGCCATAGTCGGGATTTCGAGCTCGATCATCTTCTTCCAAATCGATTCCCAACCGGTTTTCGAAATCGGTTCACGGACGTAATCCGATTTCCGCTTGAGGTAATTCACGGTCTGATTTCTCTGGAGCAGAGCTTTCTCCGACGTACCCACTCGGATATTCGTCCAGAAAAGCACCGACTGGATCCAGCTCGTCTCGGTACAGTCGGATCGGACCAGACCCAGTTCTGGGAATCTCTGGTTTAATATCGACAGAAGCGTTGACGTGTCTCCGAGAAACATTGCTACGAAAGTTGTTCTGACGGTTTTTGTCGACGAAACGGTGCCGTTTACGACGTCAATGACTGTTCTTATGAAGAGCTCGTCGGGAAGAACCGGCGCGACTTGTTGCCACCGAAGCATAATCTCCGTCGCGTTCTGCTCCAATGTTCGGGAGATTCTGAAAACGGTAACGTTTTGAGGGATATCGACGAGGTTTATTTTGTAAGCTAAAACGACGCCGTAGCTGCCTCCTCCTCCTCCGTTGATTGCCCAGAAGAGATCCTCTCCCATCGATTTTCTATCCAAAATTTTACCTGAAGTTTTTAACAGAAACGTTATAGATAAAATATATCAACAAAATATTTTAGAACAACTATGTAATATAAATTTTAGATTTACTAAAAATATAACAAAAACTCTTCGTTTTTTTTTTTTACTTTTACAATACCAAAGTTCATAAAACTAGTTAAAATTAAACTTGCGATCCAACATATATTAAACGTTTATGTGACCGATTAATCGGTTATAAATTTATGCATGGTTATCTTAAGGAGACTGTTAAAATTATTTAACCAACATTTTAACAGATCTGGTTAATTAATATGATCACTGCCTTGTTCATTTCAGAACCTTGATTAATACGATAAAAATAATCAGAGTATAGAATTAGGAAGCTAGAGATATTGATTATACCATTGACGTCGACCATTTTTGCATCGATAGTATTATCGACGGTGAGACCGTATTTTCTCATTATGTTACCATAACCTCCGCCGCTAATATGGCCGCCGACACCAACCGTCGGACAAATCCCCGCGGGATAAGCTAGGGTTTTGCTCTTCTCCCATATATAGTAGTAAACTTCACCGAGAATGGCACCGCTTTGGACCCACGCGGTTTTACTCGCCGTGTCAACATCAACTGACCGAAGATTAAACATGTCGAGAACGAAAAACGGCTTCCCAGAGTACGTAACGTATGATAAGCCGTCATAGTCGTGGCCTCCGCTTCTGATTTTCATCTGGAGGTTGTAACGTCGGCCGCAAGTAACCGCGGCTTGAACGTGTGATTCATGTGTGGCCGCGATTATGAGGAAGGGTTTTGGAGTTGCGGTGGTGTTGAAGCGGAGGTTACGGATGTTGGCTTCTAGTACGGAGGAGTAGGAGCGGTTTCCGGAGAAGAACACGGTGGGGGAGATGGGATGTTTAGGGTCGGAGTTTGAGGTTAGACATTGTGTGAAAGTCTCGGAATTTGCTAATGATGAGTTTGATTCCCCTATGATGATAACGAGGAAGACAAAGGCAAGTAATGTGGTTCTTGAATGTTTCATTTTCGAGATTGAACAATGAAATAAAAAAAAAATAAAACCAATTATTGTGTATATGGATGTCGTTAAGGCTTTTCAAGGTATTTATAATGATAGAGAAGATCATATGCATAACGCCAAAAAGTTTGACCAAGAAAAGTCAATTGTGGTTCAAGTTGTCCCAAATATTTTGATTTTGCGTGATGATCGCAATATGTTCTAGAATTAACATATAATATTCAAAAGAGTGTAAAAACCGCATCATGTCTACAATAACAAATCTCATTAACGGATTTAAAGATTAGAATGCACAGTACTTTATTTTTTTAGTAAGACCAGATTTAAAAATCAAAATGCGAAGGTTCAGACTTAAGATCCGTAATCTCTTTTGGTCCAGAGCCAGCTTTTGATAATACTTGTTAAAGCATAAATCGTGTTCTTCGTAAGCAGACATTCGAACTTGGAAACAAAGACTCAACCTTCTCCAAAAAGAAAAGAAAAACCCTTGCCTAATCGGCGTTCGATCGGTGTAAGCTTTGAAGGATTTTGTAATGAAAATTATTTATCGTATCAATATATTATCTGCAAGAGAAAAAGTTAAAAAAAAATATATATTACGTGGAATATTAAAATTTATGTGATGTTTTTTTTTCTTTGTTAAACAGTTTAATGTGATGGTGATAATTTTGAAGTGAATATATATATTAATCCCATTGAAATCATATGTTCTCCTCTGAATTTTGACCTGGAATTCAAGTTTGTTATGAAGGATTTTTTACATTTGCAAAGACACTCGATCGAATTAGTCAATTATGATCCTATGAATCGATTGAGGATCGCGTAATTAAGAACAAAACATTTCTCCAACTATGAACAACTCAGGAAAGTTTTCAGTCCAACTAATTAAATCAATTTCTTGATAAAGATTGCATCAGTGATCTTAAACAATCATACAAATACTAAAAGAAAAAAAGAAAAAAAGTATGATATGTTAAATAATCAAAAGGTAGAGATGTTGAATACATGTATATATATATATATATATATATATATAAGAATTATTGGCTAAAATATAACATGCATGAAGTATACACTTGAGCGGCTGGTTTGACTTTCATATGGTTGACCGACCACCCAAGTATTATCACTGGGGCCGCAAATAAAGAAAAAATGAACTAGAGATGGTTTCTTTTTAATTATATAGTAGTAATACGTTATTGATACGTATATAGTTTTTTCACATTAATATACATGCTACTCGGATGGTTTAGCCTTTAGTCTAAAAATCAGAGAGAAGCAAAATTAAGCTGTCCATTACAAGAATCTTTAGAAATAAAAATTAAAGAAATGTAATAGTCTATTAGATACCTTTTGTTATGAAGAGATTAAGATGTAATTCCAACAAACATGCAGAGAGAAAAAAATGAATCAAACGTATTTTGTTTCAGCGAGATGTTTGTTTGTTTTGCCGTACGAAAACAAAAGATGTTTGACGATAGCATTGAGGACTTTAGGAGGAGAAGTGCAAATCTGTCACAAGTTACAATTTTTTTCTATTTAAATAACTCTACACGTGTAAAAAAGGATCACTGCGTCTACTCATCTTTTTTCTGTGACGGCCAATCTCTTTTAAGATAAAACTGAAACTATTTATTGACGCACGTATACATCATGATGGCATGCATGCGTCATGGTGTCGTGATCACTTCAGAGATTTTCTACAGAATTAATTTAACTTTTAAACAAAGTGCAGTAATCTTATTATTATCTGGCCAATAAAGCGGTTCGAGCCTATATGCACCAATAACAACAACGCAAAGAATATAGTCTTTGTGGCACTTTTTCTTTTCGCCGCGTAGGTTCATTAGGCTAAGGTCAAATGGATCGTCAATGGAACATGATATATCATTATATCCGTTAAAAGTTACAATATTGGCCGATTACCCAAATTTACGGGTTTTCCGTAAGAAACATTTCATAATTTCTACCATGGATAATTTTGTACCTAGAATTTATCGATTTATTTTTGTTTATCGGGCCAGCCCTAGACCAAGAGAAATAAAACATTTGTTTTGGTTTCTAATTTTTTTTTAAAATTATTTAGATTGAAAATAAGCTCCTAATTTGTATTTTAGTTGTAATAAAAGCCCCAAATTTTTATTTAAAATTTACATTTATAGTCACTTTTAAAAATATATTAATATATTTAATAATTCTTAATTTTATGTTTATATTTTGCTTGAGCCCCCAAATTTTCAAAACCGACCTTGTTTGTTTATATCAATCTTTTAAAACTCGATCCGGAAAACAAACCGGAATTTTTATCGGATCACTGAGTTTTCGGATTTATCTGGATTGATCAGGGTCAACCGTGAGTTAACTAATTAATAAATTTTTATATATTATATATATAGTTTTAAAAATAAAAAAATAAATTTAAATATAAAAATATAACATAAACTATTCAAATTATTAAATATAAAAAATATAACATAAATTGTTTAAAACATAACACAAACAATTAAAAAAAAATCAATATTGATTCAAATTACAAACGAAAAGTCACAAAATAACAAAAATCTATAATTTAATTAGGGATTATTTATATTAAAAAGATTTTTTATTTAAAAAAATGAAATTAGTGGTTTGACCGGGTCAACGAATCACTGGGTTACAGGTTATTGCGAGTTTCTTTAGATTTTACCGGGTTAATAAATTTTAAATTTGAAGAGTAGAATCGACCCGGATGAGTGATCGGGTCCCGGTTTAACCGGAAAGACCGACCGGCCCGGACCGAGTTTCAAAACATTGGTTTATATAAACTTAGTTCAAACTTATTTTCTATTTTGGTTCTACTTAATCTTTATATAATAACAATCTGAACAAATACCACATACACTTTCATAAGTTATGTCGTTTCAAAATTTATGGTTATATCTTTTTATTATAAATGGTTACGTTTATTCATTACAACTGTAATTTGTGTCTTTACAAAACTATTTATATTGCTCAAAATCACAAGAAAATCATTTAGATCTAATATTTATTTTCTTACTATAATAGTTTATCATAAAAATATATTATCTAAATAGTTTTTTATAAATAGAAAAAAATAGTAGAAAATCTAACATACAATCATTTTTCCAAAAAAAAATATCAGAAGTTTAAAAGCTTGGAAAAAAGTTAATAATCATTTTAAGAAAATATATAATATTTACCCATGTTAAGGGTGTTTTGAAGTTTTTTTTTTAAATTATTGTAAAATTCAGTTTACTTTTGAAGATGCATCTGTAATAGCAATATAAATAAGCTAAATGTCACTTATAATTTGATAAGTTGTGTCGTTTCAAAATTTATGGTTGCGTGTTTTCATTTATAATGGTTATACTTTTTTACTACAAATAGCTATGTCTTTTCATCATAACTATGATTTGTATCTTTTCAAAAATATTTATATTACTCGTTATTCCAAAAAGAATTGAATAAACATAATTTGGATAGTACCAAAAATAACTGCAGCCGTATCTTTTCATTACTCATTGAGTTATTTACATAGAATAACCTTACTAAATAGGGTATTGACTAGAATAATATCTTTCTACAACTGACTAACGAAAATAACCTATACAAAGTTGTGCAAAGACATCAGAATCCAAATTTTAGATATAATAACAAAAATGTCAGTTTAGTAATAAAATTAACAAAAAACATCAAAAATGTTAAAACAAAGAAAAAAGGAAAAAAAAAACAAACCAGCTAAACCTAGAAAAAGAAGAAGAAGCTCATGAAGAAGAAACTCGCGACGGCGATGTGATTTTTTGCCCGGTCTGAAGAAAGCTTTTTCATTACCTGTGGCGTCATAGGCGACGGACCGGAATCCGTTAAGAAATTATTTGGGAGGTCTGATTACAGCGTCGGTGGAGCAAATGTAACATTTTGTAGGTGTTTAATTTCCGGCGGTTTTGATTTTGAGCTTCAAAACTAAGAACAAATTCGTTTATTCCAGAAAACTAAGTGTTTATCGGGGTTTTTGAGGTCCACCGCCGGTAAATTATTTTACCCCTACATCGAAAAATCTAAGGTCTGCTGCGGGCAATTTGTTTTTGGTTACCGAATTTCTGTGTTTATCGGGATTTATGAGGACACTAACTAAAAAAAACTAATTATAACTTATCCTTTTTTTTTATACAGATCTATCGGGGCTCAGATTGGTACAAAGTTGACCAGTGAAAACAGTCCGCCCGCCTGAGAAGATTATTCCAATGAGGATTTACAGAGCCATCATGGTAGATTTTTAATATATGTCGGGGGTGATGGTGGTAGATTAGTTTGACAAATTATGTTTTTGTTGGTATTTAGGATGGTCGTGGTGGTAGATTTGTTTGATATATGGTATACAGTGGTGGTAGATTAGTTTGATAGATTATGTTTTTGTTGGTATTGGGGATGGACCTGGTGGTAGATTTGTTTGATATATGGTATATAGCGGTGGTAGATTTGTTTGATAGATTTTGTATTGGTGGTAGATATTTTTGTTTGATAGCTTTTGTATTGGTGGTAGATTTGTTTGATATCTTATGGTAGATTTGTTTGATAAATGTATTGATTGATATATATGTTAAATTTTTGTAGGTTAGATGGCATCTTCAAATGATAAGAGGGGGAGAAAGCCAGAGTACCCACGAAGATTATTTCCGCCTGGGAAATCTCCTGTGCAAAAGAGAAGTTTGAATCATTATAGTCATTTATCGGACTTTGGGTTGCTGCTTGAGAGTGTTGGAGAGGATGTCTACAACAACATTATGCTCGATTCTCAGGTTGGCGTGATGTTGAAGCTTGCCAAAAAGCGTTACATATGGGCTGCGAGTACGGTCTATAATCATAACAAACCAATTGGCGGTGCAAAAGGAGTTATGGAATCTGGTCACTTATTGGTGGGCGTCCATTGCGGTTTTCGCTTCTTGAGTTTCGTGATATCACTGGCCTAAACTGTGAGCCCTTTGCTGATGATGAGTGGGACATTG